GAATGACCAAAAATAATTAAAAACAGTTGAGATTAATCTGGAGACGACAAGAGAAAGCTAGTATAAATTTGACAAAAATAGCTAGCTAGATTAGTTTTAATCTGTCCAGATTACTCATCTCAAGACATGAATCTGTCGCGATAACTGCATATTTTCTAAATTTAAAATTAAAAACAAGCAGGAAACACAATAAAGTATTCCAGATATGGATAAAAATAAACTTGGCTACACCACAGACTCAAAATGAACGTAGCCCAAAATAGCTATAATAATAAGTTTGTCATCACAACGGAAGATGACCTTAAACAAAAAACCAATTTAACCCATTTTAATGACCTGCTAAAGTAATTATCTAAACCTTTCAAAATAAAAAAAATAAAAGCTAGGCCATTATTGGTCAAAGTTAGATAAATATACAGTCTGACTTCCATATAGCACTGCTAACCAAATGTATCGAAATTGGATTATATTGGAAAGGGTTAGCATAGATACAGCTTCAAGAAACGTTCGAATTTCTAAGAATGAACCTTTAGGATTATTTATTTGAATTAACCAATAGAAAATCTAACCATAAAATACTGTATCTTGTTGTTCTAACATATAGCAGTGAAATCTCCCCCCCCCAGAATTGTTTGATCTACTGCATTGCAAATACAGAGTAGCCAAATTAGTGCGCAAAGTAAAGTAGTGTTAAAAGAATGCAAATTCATTGCAAAAAGAAAATTAGCATTTTTAAAAAAATCAATTACTAGACATTCCACATGACCCCCACAAGGGGCCATGACCCCGAGGTTGAAAAACACTGGTGCAAAGGCAGATTTTTCTAATGACCAGTTGAGGTTTGCATGTTTGACATTTCGTCCCCTCCGGTGCTGCAGAGCCAGAGCCTGGCTGATAGATCTGTGATGTATGGTCTAATAAACAGCGTGTAAAAGCCTCACTCACTAATAAGCAGTAGATAAGAGTCCAAAGTCCCAGAGGGATTGTTTACCCTTAACTTCACTGTAATACTGTTCCCTGACTGTTATCCATCCTGCGGAATTATGTTAGCGTCTGCCTGCTTTTAACCACAACAACAACTAATGGTTCCTGAGAAGACAAAGGAAGCTGCGCTCTGATCCAGACTCTCCTGATATAAAACATAGGGTTTTACAAACAAAATGTTATTGTTATACAATTAATGAATGAACAAAACTATTGAACAGGAGCAAAATCATGGGTAATCGTCATGGCTATCTATTTTAGGGGCCAGATTTTGGGTACCCAGACCGGGAGTTAAAGACCCCTGCTTAACACAGTACTGCGCGTTTTATGTATATTTGCTAATATTATTATATAATAGCGTTAGGTTCTTTATGGTTTACTGTATATTTTGTTGAACTAATAGGTACATTCCAGGTATTTTAATTTCTAGTTTAGCGTACATTAACTGTTTATACTCGTGCTCACTTTTTCTTAAGTCTTTCGAAAAAATGTTTAAATGTCCCTTTACTAAAGGTTTAACTTGCAGTTTGCAGTTTGCATTTTGCTATATTTATCTTGTTATTTGTTGACTTGTTAACATTTTGGTTAGATCATTTTCAGCCTTCCGGAGAATGCAACATTAATGCTCATTAATTTTGTTATTTACCTGCAAATCACTTCTTAATTATATTTCAGCTGACAAGTTTGTTTTGTTTTGTAGTTATTCTCAGGGAAAAGTGCTCGGATAGTTTTAATTCTAACATTTCTTCGCACATTTTCCACCTAGTTTTACCTTTGTTACTTTCAAACTCCTGAGGTGGATTACATTCTGTATTCACCTAGTTTTACCTTTGTTACTCCTGAGGTGGATTACATTCTGTATTACATTATTTAAGGGCAGTGAAGTGGTTTTCCTTCTGTTTATTTCTAAGGATCACAGGACATCCTTGCCTTCACCAGGCCTTGTTCCATAATAAATGAACAATAATAGAGACAAACGTACATCCACCAGCTCTCTGCTGCGATGAGTCATCAGTAAGTGTCAACAGACTCCGGACTTGGTCCGTCTTCCGTACCTGCCTGGTTGAATACAAACTGTGTGTGTGTGAAGGCTGGACAGGATTATACAGCTGTCAGAAACGTCCCTCATGTCTCCACCTCCGCATGTTTGTCCCGTGAGCCCCCGTCTCCGCAGCTGCTGACAGCTATCGTCATGGGAACAGAGAGATGCGGGATGATTGCGTACATGTCAGGGAGACTTTTATTGGACTGTTGCCTCCGACCTCACCTGTCTTAGTCGTTCGAGGTTGTTTTTATATTAAACACCTTGAACTCACGGAACTGTTTAAGAGACACGTTTGCTTTTTTCATCGGGAACTGAATTTCAGGGCGATCAGATGTTTACCTTGAAATCATTAATGCACTTTACAGGAGCTTGCAGTGATGGCTGTTTTTACAGTGTGTAAGCTTTCCATAGTGAAAGGCCTTGACAGTAGTGTCCCCACTTTTTTGCCATGGGGGCTACAATTCAAATGACCAGGCTAAAGTGATCCACTGACATTAGAAAATGTTAAATATATATTTACATATATAGTCTGAACTACTTTATATATACATTTTTACAGACATTACGTTCTAGTGGCACTTTGGCCCAGATGCAATGTCGCTGTCATTGGTCAGGAACTCCAGGGTTCACCTCCTGGTTAGGGCGGTTGGCGCCTTCTAGTGGACTCACCACCTGCAGGAAGGTTCGGGGGGGTTGGTACGGCGCAGTGTGATTTGGGTGGCGGTCATGGAGACTGCTGCCCCCGCGGTGAGGTGGATAAGTGGATGAAAATGGATGGATGGATATTACATTGTACGTTATATGGGCAACATGATTCTACTAAACACTATGGAATTTTAATTTGTCCATATAAAACATATACATCTACCAACACTACATTTGCGATCATCTATTTATTGGGCACAATTTTTTAAATGTAAAAATAAACACAAAGCACACTAGCTTGCAGGAGACAGCCTTTGGTCGATGCTCCTTTAACCTTGTTCTACCTTAACGTTGTAGGATGCCTCATTTATTATAACTTAGTCCGACAATTGTACGTACGCTTGTTTCTACAAGGACAGCGTAAATATTTAATGTGATTTCCACTTCTGACGCTGGTCTGCAGAGAGCGTGACCAGACAGTGAGACCACAACATCACAGTATCTTCAACTGGCCGTGTTAAGTGTGAAGAGTGAGAGTGAAGTCAAAGTCTCTGTTTTTTTTTTCTTTCTCCCAAAGGCTTGACATCATTTCTCACTCTGCATCACAGCAGGGAGTCATAGTTTGTTTAGCCTGACATTGTCAAGTGTGTGCATCAAAGTGTGTGGTAAAATCTAGGTCTTTGCTGCAGTTGGAGCGTGTTGGGGAACCCTGACCAGTAGTTGGAGCGTGTTGGGGAACCCTGACCCTGATCTGTCTGAACTGTTCTGGTGGACCCCTGCTCATTTCCTTTTATTTTGAGATTATTATTATTATTATTATTATTATTGATATGTGGTTACCTGGTATCATTAAAAAAAATGACCATAAAAGCTTCATTGAAGCAGGATGTTTACATCATAGTGAAACAGCACATCATTGTGTCAGCTCTCAACATTTCCTATTCATTATTTCAAGAGAGGCTCACTTCGCCCATCAGCCTGCTCCTCATTTAAAGGATTAATGTCATTAAAAGCAGCTCACTC